CCCCCTGGAATGAAAAAAGTTTAAACCCCCCCCTGGAAAGATTCCTGTTTATGCGTCCCTGCCTGCAAGAGACATCTAAATAACTAACTGTAATTTACTCGATTGGATCATTTCTTTCTCCCTTTATCCCTACATTTTCATTTCTTTCTCCCTCTATCCCTACATTTTCATTAATTTCTCCCTCTATCCCTACATTTTCATTTCTTTCTCCCTTTATCCCTACATTTTCATTTCTTTCTCCCTTAATCCATAAATTTTCATTTCTTTCTCCCTCTATCCTTACATTTTCATTTCTTTCTCCCTTTATCCCTACATTTTCATTTCTTTCTCCCTCTATCCCTACATTTTCATTTCTTTCTCCCTCTATCCCTACATTTTCATTTCTTTCTCCCTCTATCCTTACATTTTCATTTCTTTCTCCCTCTATCCATACATTTTTATTTTTTTCTCCCTTTATCCTTACATTTTTTTTTCTTTCTCCCTTTATCCTTACATTTTCATTTCTTTCTCCCTCTATTCCTACATTTTCATTTCTTTCTCCCTTTATCCCTACATTTTCATTTCTTTCTCCCTTTATCCTTACATTTTCATTTCTTTCTAATTAATTTATCCTTTACCATTTATTTCTCTATTTATTTGCATTTTTAAACTTTATTTTTATCATCTTTTAATTTTCATCATACTCCAATATTTCTCTGTAAACATCCACAACGCAAAAGTTTAGTAATCTTTTTATTTCTTTATGCTTCCTGTTTTTCTCTCTAGTTATCTCAGTAGCTTCCTATCTGTCTTCCTGCAGGGTTATCCACACAGGGTTTAGACTTTTATGATAAACTGGTCTTTTGTCTGAAAAATATTCTTTTTTTTATGGCATAAAAGATGATTTAACAACGATAATAATAAGGTTTTATTTTATTGAACCAAAATTTCTCATTTTTTTTGGGTAACCCTGTATTTTCTTATGCTTTCTAACTTCTTATGTTTCTGTATTCATATCTTTCTGAATATATATCTTCTTAAAATAAGTCTAGAACGTGTTCTATTGTTTATAAAGATTGGTTATTGCTGGACACTGTGTTTCATGTTGGACATTCTTCAGCATATTTATATATAAATATATTCATACTGATGATTGCATTAAACATTGTGTTTATGAATAAAATGTTATAAGAAGATTGTTGCTCTTTCACTGATATATATCTGTCTTCCTTCCTTCCTTCCTTCCCCCCCTCCCTCCTTCCTTCTAGATAATTCTAAGAACTTAGACCTGAACACCCTGCCATCCTGCCATCCTTGTTCCCACCCTTTTCTTTCATCCAAGATTCATATTAAATGATATCTCGCACATACAGAGAGAAGGGGGCACAATTCCCCCCCCCCCCCCCCTATCTCATTTTTGATAAAATTATTTTATGAATCAAGAATTAATACAATAACACACTATGTATAACATTTACTTTTCCAAGATTTTTTTATTGTTATCTTTATTATTAAGTTAATGTTGATTTCCTACCCCCCCCCCTTCACACCACACTCAGTCATCCAATTACACAATCCAATATTATGATATTGACTGCCCTCAATACAATGAGTTGAAGTTACACTCCTTATAGTGCTTACAGTTGACAGTGGGCGCTCTAGGGGGATACACATATACCCGGTATATCTGGGCTCAAACAAACTGTTAACAGTGAATTCAAAATTGTTCAAAACCGTTAAAATTGGAGAAAATATACAGCAAGAAAACAAAGTTTATAAAGATGCTTCAATCACGGAATAATTTAACTAGTACGTCGCTAAAACTGGTGAAATTAGGGTCTTTAGGTGAAAATATCGATTTTAACTAATTTTATAATTTCATGATTATATAATTATATTATTATCTGTTGATTAATGGGTTCTATGACCTGTGTATTGAATGTACTCTAAACCTCAACCTTGAACTTGGGAATCCCAAAACCGTCTGAGAATCAGGTAGTTTTCAGGTTGGGTGTCTCAACATTTCGGAGAATTAGAGAGAGTGTACCCTAAAAATCTTGTCATCAGGTTTCTGTATAAGCGTATTTTCAAGTTACCCTCTACGGAAAGATGACAATGCCCGATTCACAACGGTAGCCTAATAAGAGTTGAACGAACAAGTATAATTAATTAGACATCAATGTTTATAATTTTGAAACCTGATTATTTTTAATTGTGGTGTCTCTACAAAGGGGACATGCGGATTTCTACTGCAGGAAAACATGTATGACTTCCAAATGAAACCTATATCTTCTTATATATGGCTTACTACCATAATTATCCAATTCCTGGCAATACAAACGTTTTGACCACAGCGGAATTAATAAGACTCCTAAAAATAAATAATTTTGTTTTCTCAATTTTTCTGAAACTTCCTGAGCCCACAACTTGAGACAGGGTATCGTTATGAAAACCAGTTTTAAACCCCAGGTTTTACGAATGGGGTTAGGCAGTTTTGTGGATATCAATATTTTTGTTATGAAATATTTTTTTATTTAGTATTTTTGTCGAACATCTTAAATCAAAATCTACAAAATGTTAAAGCCCCAAAAAGGAAACTCGAGAGTTTCGTTCAACGATACTCTTTTAAATTTCAGGCTCTGTATACAATGAGGTTTAACGGCTAATTCATTGGAAGTTTATGACCTTTGTTGGGTGGAGAGAGGGGGGGTTGCGCTTATTTTCTTTTAACCATCTATGATTTGATTAGGGCTTACACTTTTCTTGATATTTATTTAATTGGATCTTTAACGGAAAATGATTTCCTGTCTTACCTTTCAACTCACTGACTCAATGTTTAATTTTCATTTGAGAAAATACATTCTGTTGACAGTTTGTTTAAAATATACAGTACAGTGTACACAGCGCGTTTCAACTCCCGGATTTCCTGTGTTGACTGTAGAGACAGGACAGAGAGACAGAAGTTAGAACTTCAAGATCAATATCTTCGCATCATAACCAATGAGTATGAAATAGAAGGGAACCAAAATATGGTGTAATACACTTCATAATCCATACAGGGGAACCAAAATATAGTGTAATACACTTCATAATCCATACAGGGGGAACCAAAATATAGTGTAATACACTTCATAATCCATACAGTGGGAACCAAAATATAGTGTAATACACTTCATAATCCATACATGGGGAAAATATAGTGTAATACACTTCATAATCCATACAGGGGGAACCAAAATATAGTGTAATACACTTCATAATCCATACAGTGGGAACCAAAATATAGAGGAATCAAATTTTAACTGTACGACAATTATCCGCTTCTCTTTAAGTTAAAAACGCGGGAAGATATACGTGTACTTAAAAGGATTAGACTGGACTGGGTACCCTCTATATTGTGGAAGATATTGTCGTGTTTATAGTTTTCACAATTTTCATCAATTGTTCAATTCTCTAGAAGAAATCTGAAAGTCATGTTTATGAAGAACCACGATTGAAAATAGTCAAATACTCTAGATAAAAACAAGGATATTTCATTCGTTTTTGATCATTCAATGCTGTCTAGGGTACCGTTGTAAATCGGACATAATAATAAAGAAAATTATGACAATTAATAGAATATCTTAAATTTTGTTAAAAGTAAATGAGCTATAGTGATTATAGTAATTATAGTGATTAAGTGAGCTAACACTAAGGTTGAGGTACATTAAGGTATTAAACTAGTGGGTTAGAAACCTTGTTGAAATAAATTACTCTGAAATAAATGTCGAGCTGAAGTGTTTGCAACAAATTTTCACACTACACACTATAGAAGAATACAGGAGATTTTAGGAATTCTAGAGAGAAATAATTTAATTAGAACTCTATACATTTACTCCAGTGCCTTTGTACAGTTCAATCTATGTTCGCCACAATAACCAAAAATATTCTAAATTCTAAAGACTCAATTCTTTTATATTTCAGATTTGTGAAGAAACAATGTTTGCCATGAGACAACAGTTTAATGATCGGGAACTGACACAAATATTTATCCGTTTTTAAAATCATAAAGATGTGAAGTTTAAAGAACAGCGAACAATATTTAATGAGAAACTAGTTTTGTATAGGCAGCAAAGAACTATGTTAAAGTGGTTGGCCGGACCTGGGGTAAAGGAAGGGAGTAAAGGAATCAGTATAACCAGTGATCCTCTTGCTACAATCCATAATAAGAGAAGGAGTAAACATGTTTATTCTGTTAACAGGTAATAAATACTTTATTTCACATGTCGCCTAAACATTTAAATACTAAATCTTTACGATCCTGCATGGTGGTCTAACATTTTTATTATTTAGCATAATTTATAGATTGAAGTATCAAAGGTCGCCGACATCAGGTTGCAAAGATATTAAAAAAAAGAGGAAACGGGTTCTAGAAGTGTTTGATGCAAGGCTCCACGATTGGGAGCCGAAAACATTTAAAAGGGAACAAAAAAATGGGGGGAAATCTACCGAAATATTTATACGACTGTTTTTTCTTATTTATTTATCAAAAACAATTTTAAAAATTGTGGAAAAAGAAATGTGTGTGGTCAGTAAAAACTAATCAGTGCCTTATATAGAGGATATAAAATTCTATATTTTTGTATGTCATAATTGTTTCGAAATATTGGATATTTCGATCCAAATCCATACCATATAAAGCATAAAGAACCTTTTACGGATTTTGCTAAATAAAATGTATAGCAGCAAACCAAAAACATAAAAAATCAAAATCTACATTGACTGTTCAGAAATGGTATCGAAAGCTAGAGCTATCCGACTGATAAACCAGAACATTTTAATCAACGATTACCATTTATGACCTTTAGTTAACTTTCAATTAGCATTCAGTTTTTTAACATATATTTACTCACATTTTAACGGGTCACGGCCATGAATTGTCTTAAAACAACGCCTGATCAGTTTTTTGCAAAGTTTCAATTTAAATGGAACTGATTAAATATCAATTCTGACAACCCGTCGGCAATATTCTCAAGTTTAGTATGAAGTTGTTTAAATATAACATATATATTAATAGTATAGGTTAATATTTTTATATGCATATTTAATATTTAGTTGCTGTCCAAAATTTATTTGTAGTTTTTTTTATATTTAGCAAGTATTCCACTTTCGATTAGTTCCAACTCATTGTTAACAATTTTAATTTTCTTAAAGCAACAGTATGAGTCAGTATTTTTGATTAATTTCTAAACCATTTTGAATAAAATTATTGGTTTTTGATTTGTTGTAAACTTTTAAACCGGACTTTTTTATGGAAACCGCGCCCTGTTCAAGAGTCCCGTTGTAAATTCCTTAGAATCAGATTAGTTACAAGTTAATGCCGGGGATTTTTCAACAGTTTTTCGTGGATTTATTAAATCCATTTAATACTATTAACCTGCCAATACAATAAGGAAACCTGACAAATTAGTCTAATTCTAATGACCCTACTTTCAACTAGGGGCATACATTATGATCGGTTTAAAGGGACCGTTCACTTATTTGGATAATTTCATGGTAAACTAAACAGCCTATTCGCTGTTGATTGTTATTAGTCTTACTTTTTAAAGACAACTGTGGCTGGAGAAAAAGCCGATTTTCGTTCAGAATTCGAGCGAAAAGGTATGAATCCGCCAGGGGGTGCAAACGTTTTTGCCGCCCCCCTGTATCCGCCCCTAGTCAGAGTCAAACTTAAATCTGCAAACATTTTAAAAAAATCTGTACAGTCGCCTTAAAAGTCTCATTTTTGATGGGTAATCCTCAATCAAAACTTTGATTCTGAGAAAACGAGTTTGTGAGAAATAAATAAAAGTAATGGTTTAAATCTGTTTTGTAGGAATTTTTAAAATCTGAACCGGGGTTTCCCGACAAAAAAATTAAGCCTTTGCCACAAACTCAATTTTTCGAATCCCTATGTCTTTGCAACCTGATGGTGTAAACCTTTGGTTTTTAAAACTTGGGTTACGTGATCCACCCACAACTAAGCTTTCGGTGTGTTTTGTACTACTCTGTAGTGACTGTAGTTAACTGACTGAAAATATTGTAACGGTTAATGGAGAGCATGGATCTTTCTGAATTCATAGTTTAAATATCTAAAATCTTTGACATTGTGTTGCAGAGATATAGTGATTAGAAAATCAGAGTTGGTGGCAAAGACTCATTTGCTTAGAGTCAGATCGGTTCAGCCTTTATCTTGGATCTATATAAAAATATAAAATATAAAAATATAAAAGATTTTAAGACTGAAAAGTTAGCACGTGCTTTGTTGAAGACTGAGCAATGTAACTTAGTTTCATGTTTATACCCTGAAGAGGCAACACAATAAACAAACCACGGTTCATGATTTTAAGAATTTATTTCACTATAATTTTAGAAAATTTCATGATTTGATCACAAAGCCGGGACAATATTAACAAAGATCCATTAAAATTATAATCTTTGACTTTATTTTTGTATGTTTTAAATTCATAATAAGAGATTCGAGAAAATATCCAAAATATCCAAAAGTTATAGTTTCTTAAGAAAATCATAAAAATTCTTTTTCAAACTATAGTTTGTTTACCACTGTAAACTATAGACAGAAGAAGAAGGTCAAAGGAATTGAGTTTTTGCCACAAACTCAAATCTTCTGATCCCAATATCTTTGCAACCTGATGGTGCAAACTTTTGATATTTCAAACTTAGCTTATTTTATCTTAAAGTATTAATAGTTTGAAATATCTAAGGTATACGACATTGGGTTACAAAGATATAAAGATTATAAAATCAGAGTTTGTGGCAAAAACTCAACTCCTTTACACGACATTACTTGTACAATTTTGTGACCTCTTAGCTTATTTAGTTTTGATTTTACACAGCTTGAAAGTATGAGAACAGCAAATATATCGGGTTACATGTTATGAATTAAACATGTTATGTGCTTCTAGCTCTCAAATATAGAGGTGTTATGATTTAAAACATAAGATTTCAATCACTCTTTGAATTGATTTAATGCCACAAACTCAATTAGTATCATCTATATATCTTTGCATCCTGATGATGTGTATCTTTGATATTTCAAACTTAGGCTATTTGATCTAACACAATTCATAGTTTAAAATATCAAAGGTCTACGGTATAGGGTAGCTAAGATAGGAGTTTGTGGCAACAACTCAATCCTTTACTTTTGTTTGACACAATGACACAGATTTGAAGTATTATCGGAGACCCTTTTTAATCGGAGAATCCCCCCCTTCCTCTCTTTTCCCCTTCCCCTCCTTTGCAGTACCTTTCCTTTCATAGAAGATCGATCATCGAAGTTCAGTGGAAACTTCCTGCTCCCTCTTTCAATCGGAGATCCTCTCCCCCCTCACATCTTATTGGAGACAGTAGCGTACACACGGGGGGAGGGGGGGGCAATAGTCTTTTTGCCCCCCCCCCTCTAGCGAAAAATAAAAGAAAGTCTCCTATGAAACTAACGATATATTTGATGGCGCTAAATAATAACAATAGTTGCACCTTTATTTAGGTGTCCTGAGCTTTAGAATGAGCTATCCTTAATCCTGATTGTTTAATCTGAGTATCCAATGTACACACTTTTGAAGCTATTCTTAATCCTCTTTTTTTGGATATTCCTACTGAATAAAAGTTACTATACCATGCTATATCAGCTGTTCACAATTAAGCTGGCTTTTAGGGCATTTAAGCAAATATAAATTTAATCATGTTAATTTGAACGGACATACTCAAAAAATTAGTTTTGTGTGCATAAGTGATTATAACGCTGTTCCTCTATAATGTTTATCTGTATTAGGTGTTGTATATCTGTATAGAGTTTAGTAATATATGGGCATATGCAATTATCATCATTTTGGCTTGGGCCTACTTATAATACCCAAGGTCAGGCAGTGTTTTTTATAATTAAGTTTTGTATTAAGTGTTCGTTCAGACAGTAGTTCGATATATTTAATCAAATAGGGTCAAGATAGGACGTGTATTATTTAAAAATTAAATTAAATCACAACAGGAACTGAACACTCATCTCACCATTTGATCTTTTAATCTCTATATTTATGCAACCTGATGGTGTAAACTTTATTTATTTCAAAATTTTACCATTTGATCCATAAAAATAACTATTTCTATAATATATCAGGTTGCGAGGAATATAAGGAAAAGAACATTAGAGTTTGTTAAGAAACTCCAACAAAAGCAAAAAAAAATTAAAACCAACGAAAAATTATAGAAAATCTTCATAGCTTTGGAATTGCCTAAATATCATCTGATACAGTTGAATGGACATCTTTTATTCGATGATCTAGTGAAATAACCCAATGGAACCAAAACTATCTGTAACAATGCTAATATTGATATTAAAAACAACTGCATTCAATTAAATGCATATTTCTTCTGGAAATGCTATGAAGAAAATGCATTTTTCTGGTCCTGCATGAAAACATCATTTTAAATTTCGAGTTAGGCAAAATCTTGACATCCAATTACTCTTTAATATTATTTGCAAAATGACATTTTTACAGAAAACACGATAATTATTCAATTTTTAAAAACTTTTGAAATAATACTTAAAAAACTAAATAAATCTAAAACATATACTAATGAAATTAAACCTGAAGAGAAATTACACTCTATTAAATGAAAATATATGAGCATTCATATTTTCAGTATTTATTATTAAAGCTTTTTATTTGATAAAGATCATTTAAATTTAACATTTGTTTTTGTATTACCCTTTTTTAACAGTTTTCGATCACATTCGTTGTATACACACATTTTTTATTGTTGTATTCAGTATTACCTTTATTTAGTACCTTCTAAAATTTGGTTTTTAAAAAAACTAATAAGCCCCCCGCCCCTCTTTTAATGACCGGTAATAAAGGGTTATTTACACTTCATGGTGATAATTCCTCTTTTTGTGCAGTATCATCTTATCCCCACCATATTTTCTGTAGCACTTGATATGAGGATTTCAAAGTTTGAAACAATTGCATATTTCAGTTCATTTTCATAACCTTGTTTCTTGTTTTTTATGAATTAGTGTTTGTCAATTTTGTAAATATTCACCAATAAATATATCAAGACGCCATTTTTAATGGAAAGCATTCTTGTATGTTGCATTTTTAATTTTCATTTTTACCCTGATGCAATTTTGAATGCAAAACTTATTTTACCCTAAAAGAGAGAGGGGAGGGATGTAAATATACAAATATATATAAGAACAAAACAT